CCAAATGACAAAATAATTATAGAAGATTTTAGAAATTTATTTTAACTGCTGGTAAATACATCCAACTAAAACTATTAATATCTTTAGTTTTAGTTTTAATAAATAAAATTAGCTATTTAAACGATAAATACAGTCTACCATATTAAATGCCACTTTTAATTAAGTTTAGCTCTATCTGGGAAAAGAGATTCCTTTTTGCATTATTAACGACAATTAAATACAACACTTTAACAACTTTTGAAGTTGTTATATATATATATATATATATATATATATATATATATATATATATATATATATATATATATATATATATATATATATATATATATATATATATATATATATATATATATATATATATATATATATGTATATATATATTATTAACCATGCATTCTTGACAGTTAAGAATACTATAAAACATTTTAATAAAGCTTTACAGCATAAAAGTAATCTCTGTCTTCTAGAACAATTTTGATCTAATTCTCCTACAGTGCATTAAATGCTTAACAATAAAATGGCCTTGTTTTTCAAATTATTTTTAATCAATATGAAGCAAAAGATTTTTTCAATATCTTTTTTTTTATATGATATATGATTTTATATATGATTTTATATATAGCCTTGATTAAAAAACCTTATGATTTTCATTTACATGATGACTTCTAATAAATGAAAATTACAAGGTCTTTAGATCAAGATCAAAAAAATAAGATTAAAAAAACAACATAAAATCAAACATCATTAATGTTTGATTTTGTTTCTTAGTTAAACAATAAAATATTGCTAAATTATTAAAACTGCATGTGATATTTAAGGGATCCTGCTATTTTACATATATTTACAATAATCTCTGGTAATTTGAAGACCAAATTTTTAGTTGAATGATATTATAGCATTATAAAATAGGGGTGATGCAAATCACAGAAATGTTTGAAATTTGAACTTTTAAATAAACCTTAAAAGAATAAACTTTTAAAGTTTAACGAGCCGTATATCACACTTTGTGTTTATCACATTCAAATTAGTAAAAACATTCATAATAAATCGAAAAAACAGATTTTAAACTTGAAGAAACTAATTTTTTTTTTTGCTCTTTGATATATTTTTAAACATATGACTGGTTAGAAATTAAATACATAACATAAAACTTGTTTAAAAATGTTATTTTTTTGTAGTTTATGTTGTCTTTTTATAACATCAACATCATTTTATACCAAAAAATATTACCTTAACTTTTAAGTAAAATTTTATACCTAAACTTAAATAAATTAAAAAGTTTTCAATTAATTCAATTTAAGACATACGAAAGGACTAAAAATTAAAAAAAAAAATCGTTTTTTTATTTTTTAGTTGTGCTTTAAAAACTCACTTATGTGAATTTTTATAGCACAACTAAGTCTTTCTTATTAAATTGCAAAATTCATGTATTTTCCAGAACGTGCATTAATGGCGTTGAGTAGACGAGCTGAAGTGTAAACGAATTAAATTTATGTCATTTTTCAAGTAACTGTCTTTTTATTAGTAATTTTCTACAATATACCGCCCAGTTATCATAGTTAAAGTTATCCAATCACATTCTAATTTTAAAAAAATTGTCTAATGGTATAGATATTTAGGTATAGATATATTGCATATAAAATAAATTACGTGTAGGCTTCTGTCTATTAAAAACAGATATAATCTCATACATTTTCAACTTCCCTTAAATACTTGGAGCCCCATCTAAGAATAAAAAATATAGCAAAAAAATTTGCTAAAAACTATAATCTTTTTTGAACTAAAAAGTAAAAAATAAACTTTTTGATTAAAATTTAATAGTTCAGTAAACTAAAGATTGACAGGTATGTTTCTAAATAAATCTTGTGCAGACCTGTCAATCTTTAGTTTACTGAACTATTAAATTTTAATCAAAAAGTTTATTTTTTACTTTTTAGTTCAAAAAAGATTATAGTTTTTAGCAAATTTTTTTGCTATATTTTTTATTTTCTACTTTTTAGTCTTAACAAATTTTTCATATGAAATACAAAACTAAAAAAAATTATTAAAAAAATTAAAAAACTAAAATACAAACCTACAAGCAATCTTGCCGATCTAAAAAAAAAATTTATTAGTAAAAAAAATTTTTTTTAAATAAATAAACCCGCAAGCAATTTAGTGACTAACTTTTACTAAAAAGAAAAGTTGCGAGTGGTTGAAGGACGACAAAGTTACTTGAGGAAGAGTTCATATCAAGTGAAAGAAAAGATTATAAAAATATAACTACACCTGTATTTTTACTATAATAAAAATTGGAGAACATTTCGAGGTTAAAGTATACTTTAACCAAATGTTTTTGAAAATTAAATATATTTGCGTAATTGCAAAAAATGTATATATATATATATATATATATATATATATATATATATATATATATATATATATATATATATATTATATATATATATATATATATATATATATACAGTGCTTGAAGTGGAGAAAATATTTGTTATTGTTAAAGAGGTGGCAAATTAGTTTATACTTTGTAAAAAAGCGAAAAGTGTAAAAATGTATATATAAATATATATTTATTTACACTTTCCACATTTAAATTTACTTGCCATCTTTTTATATTTCTCCTAATATAACTATAATACATGATGGGATGGGATGATATTTCAAAGTTACTGGGATATATCTAGTTACCTTATTTCATATACTTTTTGAATTCTATTCATATCTAGAAGGAACCTTCGGGATGTGGAAGCAATCACAGAGCTCGTTTAACAATCCATATGACATATGTGCTTTAAGTACGGAGAAATACTAGTCACTCCCTATGTAGTTATGTTATTTACCTTTTAGCGTACTACATTGAAAGATTAAGGATTGAAAGATGCATATAGTGATATAGTGAGGCTTATATTAAAGTTTTTAAGTTTTTTAATTTCTCAAATAATTAATATAATATAGTTTTAAAAATAGGTACATCATTTATCAGTAATAAATACAAGTGAAAAAATAAGAATTATTAAAACAATATTTTGAAGGTTTAACTCCTGTAAAAAAAAGACGATTTTTGAAAAAGTATATACATACATACAAACACACACACACATATAATATATTTATGTATAATAGTTTTATATATAAAAACTGACTTCAAAAAAGATACAAATACTGATATATATAATAATATATAATATTGAATACTGAATAATAAACAAATAGGGGAGAGTTGCCTTAATTGGAACACTTTAGGAATAAATATTTATTAACCAAAGATGGCTTGACTATGAAAACATTTATCTTTTGATTAATGCAAACAGACAACCCTACTGTACTTCTAACCATAATTTGACTTAATTGATTGCACTGTTGTTGAAAATAAATTTGCTTTTGCAACTATACCATATTGTTCCAATCAAGGCAACTGGTTCCCTAAATTGGAACACTTTGATTCCTTAATCAGAACAGGTTGTTTTTTAATAAAAATACTCAGTAAAATCAACAAAATTTGATAAAAAATGATTTTTAACTTTACAGTGAAAATTTAAACAATAAATTTATAATAAAATTAATATTATCCTGGCAAAATGAAAGTCTACAAACAAAGATTGTTTCAAAGCTTCAACTGTTATGACGTTCTGTTAATTAATTGATTAAAAATCACTAAATAAAGTATTACTTTAGAGGTTTATGGTTGTTACTAAGCATTTTTAAATTGCGCTTGAACTATTTTTTCTACCTTTTGATTTTATTACTGATTAAGTAAGGAAAACTTTATAGTTCCAATCAAGGAAGCTTTGGACTATTTTGTTATATTGCAATATCATGTTTGCAGTAATTTATAAAATAAGTTTATAATGTTATTTTGCATTTTAAATCCCATCGAATTAAAGACAAAAAACTATATAGCATAACCTATAGCAAAATAATTTACCCACCGCAATTAATATAGTGTGAACACATAATTAGATCACCAAAAAAAATAACGTAAAAAAACTTTAAATTAATAGTGCACTTTTTGCATTTTTTTGAGGAATAACTTTCAAAATGTGTCAAAACAAAAAAAATATCGCATTTTACTAAAAAAATGCAAAACATCGTCATATTTTATTTTTTTTCAAAAATAAATGTAAGTGTTCCAATTAAGGCGCTGTTCCAATTTTGACAACTCTCCCCTACTAACGTTAAAAAACGTGCAATAATTATGCATCAACCTAAAATAATAATGACTGTTATAATATAGTAAAAATTTCTACAATAAATATAAATATAAGTTACAATATTATCTTTATAAACTAAATTTAATGCTTTCAAAAAAGAAGAGAAAACTATTTCAGTACTTAAACTTCTTTTGCAGGAGTAAAACCTGTGTTTTAAATATGTTGAAAAAATTTTTTTAACAATTTTTTATTGATATTTCTGATAAATGAAACTTTTTTTTATATAAACTATTAAGATATTGTTTTTATTAAAATACTATAAAATATTTTTTATATCTATATAAACTATTAAGATATTGTTTTTATTAAAATACTATAAAATATTTTTTATATCTATATAAACTATTAAGATATTGTTTTTATTAAAATACTATAAAATATTTAATTTATTAGCTTTTATTTTCTGATTATTGTGACGTTAAAAAAAATTTAGTAATTTAATAAAAAACGTGGAATATATTAAAAACGTGGAATATATTAATAAAATAATTATTACATCAATATAGATTAACAACTACAAACTATACAAATTTGTGAAAAAATGCAATAAATAATAATCAAAATGTAATAAATTTATAAATTTATAAATATCGAAAGTTTAAAAATTCTAAAAAAATTTACAAAATAAAAGTTTATAAAAGCAAAAAAGCAGTCGTTAAGAAAACTCAGTAATAAACCAATATGCATAACAATAACTACGTTAAAATCCTAAAACTTCATCAAGTGTTTCACAAAAGCACTTTATTCTAATTTACGATTTAAAAGCAAAAATAAAAACAACACTTAAAGTTGTATCACTTTCATTTCTACTAAAAAGCAATTCTTCTAAATTTCTAACAACCAAATAATAGAATGTACATGTATTTATATAGAATAAATAATAGAATGTATATCTATATATGTACAACTCTCACAAATATTTTACTAATAAATTTGCTTTGCAAGCCAAGATATTCCAGGGAGGATGCCAGCCAAAGAGTTACTGAAACATTGACGAACCTAAAAAAATATTTAAAACTGCGTTTCATATCAAATAAAAGATCAGACCAAATGAAAAATTTTAAAAAATCTTTAATTGTAATAGTAATTCATCTCATTTCACTTTAAAAAAAAATTATATATTCAGTAAAGTATATAGTAACAAACATAAACAAAAAAAAAATACAAATCAAACTTTCTACCTTTGCGTAGCAAAGTTTTTATTAAGCCATCTTGTTATAAGCCATTTTAATTTCAGGTAAATTTCAGGTAGTAAATTTTAAATTTAGATTGATTTTTTTTTTAAATTAAATTATAATATATTTTTATAGCATAACTTTTATAACAAAGCTTTAATGCTATTTTTAATTTCATTTATAAATGTATAAATGATAGAAAACACATACTTGCCACCTTCTAGATAAATTAATCAATTTAAGTTTATTTGCTACATGAAGAACTGGAATGCACATAACATTAGCATCCGGAGAAACACATAGTACAAGAAGTGGAGATTGTGGCTGCAACCACCGTTCGTCTATTATGGCTTGAAACTCATCCATACTGAGCATTACTAAAAATAATTGTGGCTCGTTATGACTTTAAATTCATCCATACATAATTTTACTAAAAAAAAGTTATTAAAAAAAACAAGTAAAAACTTAAAAAATTTTCTTTTTAAATTAAAAAAAACATTTTCATACATTCTTCTTCAGTAGTAGCTTTAATAATATAAATAAATGCATCAACCATTGTGCAGAGCTCTTTAACAGGCTGAGAAAGCACATAATCATTTTCATTTTCTCTGCGAACTAAAAGTTTACTTCTGGGTTTATTCTCACCGTCAATAACATGTTGCTCTCGAATATTTCTAAAAAAAATTAAATATAACAATAATGAAAACATGTTAAACCAATTTCTTATCATAATAAATTTGTTCAAACATTTTAATTTTTATTTTTAAAAATCCATTAACTAACATAAATGATAAATAAAACAAAAATAAATTAAAAAAAAAGTTTACTTAGCATAATATTTTTCAAGTGATATCACTTGAAAAATATTATGCTAATTTTTGGCTCCAGCTCCACTAAAAATTACCAAATATAAAAACTGTGAATGCTTTTTTAAAACACGCCTCCTCAAATGTGCCATCAACATAAAATAACTTACTTTGTTTGACTATACAAAGTGATAAGGTTAAAGGTCCCATTGATACATTGAAGAGTAACACCAGATCCATACCCTACAAAAAAAAATTAATTTTTAAAAATTAATTTTATATCACTGAAAATAACTAATACGTATTTATACTTTATACAAACACTCATAATTAAATTTGTTACTTCATTATTTTGACTATATAAGTAAAATGTAATAATTATAAAGAAAATTTCTGATATTTTCTTGAATGTGTAAATATAATTATAAAAATTTTTTTTAAAAACTGTCCTGGAAACCAATTTGATAGAACTACTTTCAAACTGTCCTTACTAAAATAACTAACCAACTTATTAAAATTACCTTCAAACTGCCCTGGAAACATTCCTTTAACAGTAAATGGAGATTGCTTGTCCCATAATAAACGTTTTACTAAACCTTTTGAATTAAGTCCAGAACCAAACATAACAATACGAGGAGTAGAGAACCCAAAATAATATGATAAACTTGTAAAGCTTAAATGTATATTGGAGTTGTTAACCTTGTTATTTTCCGGACAGCATCTGATGTAACTTAAAATAAAAGTAATATCTAGGAACCCTTGATGAAGTTTAATCCAAATGCATAAATTTATAGGGTGTGTCCAAACTAAAAGAAGACATATGTAAAACTTACATTTCTTTTGCACTCAAGTTTGGATTTTCTTTCTTAACTAGATCAGGATGAGATAGATAATCTACAAAATGCCAACTTCGGAAATTTCTACACAGTTTTTCTTCCCATAACATACAATCATTCGAAAGATTCCACCATGAAATACAAACTTGAGAAGCTTGACACAAAGAAAATACATCAAGGTATGAAAATATATGTAGAAAAGTATAGGCCTGAAAATGTAACATATATTGAATCAAAAAGACTTTTACAATTTATTTATTCTTTATTCTAAATATTAAAAATTACAAACTATAGCATTTTATTTCAACATTAAAACATCCTGTGTGCTTTTATCTCAAAAATAAGCAGTTTGTATGTCATTTAAAAAATATATAATTAAAATAAAAAAATAATAATTTAATTACTTATAAATTTAAACATATACTCTTATTTATTTTCAAAAAGCTGTACAAACCCTAACCAATTGGTCAATGTGTGCATATGTATTATGTTCTTATATTGATATCTCTATTTTAGTATTAGTTTTCAGTAAATTTTTTTTTGTTTACCTCTAGAAAGTCAGTTTATAAAAATTTAGAGGGTAGAGGTTAAAAAAAACAAAAAAACATAATACCAAAAATAAAGATAACAATATAACTGACCTAAGAATAACTTATAAACTGGTACTGACTTTCTGGAGTTAGAGTACACTACGACTATTTATAAAAATTTTTTTTGTATTTTTCTCTGCAACAACCACTTTTGATTTAAGTAGAAACTCAATATTTCCGTAAAAGCTTAAATACTTGTGCAAGTCTATTTTACATATGGTAAGTCTACATATGGTTTATTAAATAACATATGGTGTATCAAGTAACATATGGTGTATCAAGTTTTTCAAAATTCTTAAAGTGATTCTCTTTAACTGCAGTTTAAAAGTGATGACCAACAGTCTTCTTTTTCAGGTATCTCAGAAATGCCTCACCCTCATATAGTTTCTTATATTAATTTTGAATAAGAACTTTAAAAAAAATTTTAATAAAAAATCTTATTAAGATAGATTTGTGATTACTTGTTATTTTACATGTAAATCTTGTAACATGTTCCTAATTATTTATCTTGAAGTTTTCAAAAGATATAATATTTTAATATTTCAATAAGATATGATATTTTAATATATTTAACAACAAATTTTTTAGTAAGTAAAATTTTAATATATTTAACTTCTATTAAGACTTTTTAAAAGAACATATTTTTAAAACTTATTTCATTCTTACTTTTATTTTCTGGCAGAAAACTTAGGTGAAATATTATTATATTATATTCATCTTTTTCAGAACTACATTAAACAGATAGGTTGATTTCGATGTTCAATTAACTGTTTTCTTTTTAAAGAAGGAAATGATTTCCTTACTTGCTACATTATCTGTTAAGTATACCACTTTTCTTTTACTCTCCACTTAGTGTTACTTTTTTGTCTGTAGTAGAATAACCATTGGCCATAAATTTTAATATTAAAAAATATTCAGAATATCATATTCCCATGTTACACACCCATCATTTAAATAAATCATAAATAAAAAAACGAAAAAACTTTTTTTGAAAAAAATTTGTATTTAAGAGAATTATTGATATTAGCTGAATAAAGACTTTATTAATGAAGTAACACTGCATTGTAAATTATTAAGTTATTATTATAGTATTAAGTTTCATGTTTATTCATATGTTTCATGTTTATTCATTAAAAAAAAAAAATTCTTTTTTTAATCATTATGTTGTTGTATCATCATGTGTTGGCAATGTTAATGCTACAAGAATATATACATAACAAGCATCATTTATCGCACTATAAAATTTGTTTTTTAGACAAGTGTTTTCTTTAGATTTTTGCTCTAGCTATCCATTTATTCATTAACAACTTTATTCATTCAATGGAAAAATTAATAAACAAAAAGCTAAATAAGCTTTTACTAAATATAAAAAATATTTTATATTTTCTTACTGAAATACAATGTAAAAATATATATTATATATATATATATATTATATATATACATATATATAATATATATTATATATATATATATAATATATATATTATATTATATTATATATATTATATTATATAATATATATATTATAATATATACATTATATATATATAATATATATATTATATATATATATATATATATATATATATATATATATATATATATATATATATATATATATATATATATATATATATATTATATATATATATATAATATATATTATATATTATATATTATATATATATATATATATATATATATATATATATATATATATATATATATATATATATATATATATATATATATATATATATATATATATATATATATATATATATATATATATATGAGTTTGAGCAAAATGAAAAAAAAGCAGTTCAGAGTGTAGTTAACCTTTAAGCACTTAAGCACGTAAGAGTTACGCATGTCAATTCCATGAGCAACAAAAATCTAGATATAGCTGCTATATTCAGAAAACACGAAAAGGAAAAAAAAAGAGAGTATGGCGAACGAGTTCGTGAAGTCTAACATGGCAGCTTGACACCACTAGTGTTTGGTACAAATGGAGGTATGGGTAAAGAATGTCATCGGTTTGTTAGAAGGCTAGCGGAAAAACAAAATGAAAAATACTCAGTTGTTATGACATGGTTAAGAACAAAGTTATCTTTTGAGATACTTCGCTCAACTATCCTTTGTTTAAGAGGCTCAAGAACACCCTGGACTAAAAAAAAACGATTTTGAAATCGGTGTTGATTTTAAGATGGATGCTCTAGAAGCAAGAATCTGACCTCTTATATATTTATATTATAGCATTTTGTTTTACTTGTATATTTATAATAAAGTTTAGAGTGTAGTTTGCACAAGAATTTTTTATAGAGAAATTTTTTATTATAGAGAAAAAAATTTTAATTATTTTAAATAGAGAAAAAAAAAAGGAGTTCATGTTAATGAAAACAATATACTTTTGGAAGAGTTGTAAATGGCTGCCCTAAATCACTTTAGAGGAGTGTGGACAAAAGAGAGCTATATATACATAGAGCTAAAGCTCTCGCTTCACGCCAAGGCTTGTATATATCTTAGTAAAAGACTTCATTTTATATATTAGTATCTTAGTTTAAGGCTTCACTTTTTATCTTAGTATCTTAGTAAAAATTCCTCACTTCATATATTGTTATCTAAGTTTATATATTAATATCTTAATAAAAGGCTTCACTTTATATATTATTATCTTAGTTTAAGGCTTCACTTTATATATTATTATCTTGTACAAACAATAACAACAGCTAGATATTTGCAAACATAGTTTTTCTTAGTAAGTTGTTAACATTTGAGTTTCCTTTCAATATTGTTAATGCCAATAATATCAACATCTTTACGAGTAAAATTAACAATTTTGAAAAGTTATGTTTGAGTTAGCTGTATATTTCATTGTTATTTTGTTATATAAATTTTTATTTGCATTAAGTCAAAGTTGTGCGCTGCTACATAATTTATTTTGAAACATACTGCTTATGTCTAGCAAAATGGACTGTGTCTTTTAGATCATTTATCATTCGTTCTAAACAAATCTAAAAACAATCTAATCTAGTAATATTTTAAAAATATTTTATACCTTTTTGATAACTGTTTTGAAACATAAGAATATTTGGTAGATGGAAGGTCTACATAGATGCACAGTGGGCCAAACAACTGCTTTCACGGACATTAGTTGATAACTTTTGAATGGAATGTGCTATGGGGTTAATTAAAGACATTTTGGGAAGGCTTTTATGTGCAAATTTTGGAAAAACTAAAAAATAATTTTGCTGCAGGATAATTAGGCCATAATTTAAAATAACAAAATATTGAAAATTTCATAAAATTTGCTTTTTTATAGGTTAAAACAAAAATATGTATAAATGTTTATAAATAAGTATGTATATTTTGTAATACAAAGATAAAATAGGTACATGAATGGCAAAAATAATAAAAATTATCAAATGAAGGACTAAAATACGTAATTTATTCATATATTTTAACATTTTAATATGTGTCATCTTCAGATAAAATATTATTAGAGACATTTTGTTTATGAGAATATTTATCAGAATTTCCTCATTCATACCAAAATTTGCAGAATGGTTTTGACTTGTATCTCTTGTCAAAACAAATTTGATTAGAAGATATTCACATTCAGTTAATGGTGTCTGTTAAATTGACAATTTAGGAGTTTTTTCTTGAGAGTCTAGTATGTATCAATTTTAATATTTTGCTATTTCCTTTTAAACCTGAATCATAAAGATTTTCCAAACCACTTTCCTCATTATTCAAAATTAGCTCCCAAGAATTAGTTAATGAAATGATATTGTTATACTGATCTATGATCCAGGCAAATTTATTTTTGTAACAGGTGGAAACTCGTTAAATAGGAATAAATAAAAATCTGTATGATAGCGATCCACATAAATTTTTCTTTTTGAGGAAAATACTCAAAGAATTACTGAGAGCACCAATTCGAACTTTTGAAATGTTATACAATATTAAACAGGCAACTGTGCAATAACTAAATCCTTGTTTGATTTTTTGTGCAATAGTTCTTTAGCTATATAACCTGTTGTTGTTGTTCCTCTTTTTCCAATTGTATCAAGGTAGTCTCATTTTATACCTGTTTTTTTTATATCTCTGTTTGCAATGAAGTCTCTGCTTGCTTCAGAAATCTATTTGATTCGCTGAAAGGCGACTCAGACCAATTAAAAACACCAACTTTCACATGTACAACAGTTTTCATAAAACGGTCATTTACTGGGTACATTTTCATTAAAATGCACCAAGTAAAGCATGAAGAACCTATAAAAATATCAATAATTTTTAAATGTAATAATTTTTAATATCAAGTATGTTCACATATTAAAAATATAGAATAATATGAACACTATTACAAGATACCAATTTACTTGTATTGGCTTTACATCACTAGTTGGAACTGGTTTGAAGGTTTGTCCAGCCCTTGTGATTTAATCAGGGTTTTTTTTAAGTAAAGAAACGTCTTCTTGTTCAAGTTGGTTAAATATTTTATTCATAGTAAAGTTTCAATTAATTACAAAACCATTTCAATTCTTTCAATATTCAAGTATTAAATATTGACATGACCTACTATAAATACACGGCCGTGTTTGTTGGTTTTTACGGAAAAAATTAGGAGGCCAGTTTTATTTGCTGTAATAAACGATATCTTTAAACAGAAGGCTTTGTTTTCTTGTTATATATAATATTTTTTGATTATATATGAATTTTATTATGAGTTTAGTTATGAGGAACTTATTAATTTTGATGTTTTAAATAAGATTTTAATTAAGTAACAATATAAATACAATATTTAAATTAGACACATTTATAACAGCTTGTTGCTTTTGAGATATGATTATTTTTATTGTGCTTCAAAAATATAAGAAATACTTTTATTTTCATACCTAGAATTCTTAATATAATGCCAAACAAGTGTGCAGTGATATACTGTTGCAGTGGATACAAAAGTAAATCATCAAATACAAATGTGAATACTCTAAAATTGACTTCAGAAACAACTGTTTATAACAAAGAAAATAGTGTTTTTGCGTTTCCTGATGCTTTTAAAAGACGTGAGTTAAGAAAAAAATGGATTAAGTTTGTTAATAGAAAAAATTGGTTTCCTACAGAACATTCAGGTGTTTGTAGTGCACACTTTGATCCAAAATTTCTAAAGCACGGTGTTAGAATGACTCTTATTTATGATCTTCATCCAATACCAACTATTTATTCAAATGATGCAATAAAAAAAATTCCACCTTCTCTGTTATCTATTCTAGGTCCATCAAAAAAATCTCCAACTAGATGCGTCACAAGCATTCAAGATGAATCAGATATTTTTATGGAAAAAGATTCTATCAAAGACCTAGAAATGTTAGATTCATCTTCAAGTCCTGTTGGCTTTATTTTTCAAAAATATAACTCCCATGTTTTATATTATTCGTATTTTTAATGTGGCATCTATTGATAATGCTCCCTGTATTGAATCAATACAAGTTGATTCTACTTTGCATGTAAAGTTGTATCAAAATGAATGTCAAATTCCTCTTCCAAAGTGGTTTAAGCAAAACCAATATTTACTTAAAAATATTAGCATATTAGAAAACCTTGCATCATATATGCGTATTTTGAAATTCATAGTATCCAATATTATAAACCGAAAGGCAGGAAACCATATTCATCTGAAGTTCTTCGTTTTTTATTATTGTAACGCTATACTTCAAAGCAAGCATACATTCAATTACAAGAAAAAATACTTTTACCGTCATTGTCAGTTTTAAAAAAATTAGCAGTTGGAGGAATTGAACCCTTAAAAGCTATTAAGTTACTCTTGGAGGAAGGAAAAGTAGACCCAGACTGTATTTTAATGTTGGATGAAATGTATTTACAGAAATGTAGTGAGTATAGTGGCGGTAAATATGCTGGTTTGGATAAAAATTGTAACTTTTTCAAAAGTATCCTTGTTTTTATGATTGTGAGTTTAAAAAAATCTATCCCTTATGTCATAAAGTCTTGTCCACAAACAAAAATAAATGGAGATACAGTTTTCCTTGAAACTAAAGAAAGTTTGTCTGTTTTGAAATTAGCAGGATTTAATGTACGTTCAATAGTTGCAGACAATCATTCGACAAATGTATCAGGATATGGACAGTTGATTAAATGCTTCGGAACTGGATGAACTTCGGAAATATGTAACTGGTAAAATGTATCAGGACAGTTGATTAAATCTGAAGAAGATCATTTTATTGTGAAGAAAAAAAAATTTACCTTATGTATGATAGTGTTCATCTCTTAAAAAAAATAATCGAAATAATCTACTTAATTCTAACCAATTTATATTCCCTGTTTTCCATTTCGATGGACTTTATGATCCTATTTCAGTTACTGCTGGTGAAATATCTTGGCATCTTTTCCATAAAACTTACAAAAAGGATGAAAAACTTAGTGCTAGTAAGACACATAAACTCACATTTCAAGCTTTACATCCAGAAAATGATAAGCAAAGTGTTCCTCTTGCTTTGAATGTTTTTCATGAAACAACGTCAGCTGCCATTAAAAGTTATTTTCCACAAGATTTATCTGCAGCTGAATTTTTACACCTTATTAATAGTTGGTGGTTAATATCAAATTCAAAGTCAAAATATTCAAATAACTATATTGGTTATGCAGTTGTGAGGGAAGATAAAAAACCTGAATTCTTACGTTGTTTTTCGAAGTGGATTAATGCATGGCAAATAAAACAGTTAAAGGAGTGTAAAAAGTTTACTCTTATCAAGCAAACAGCAAATGCTATGATAAAAATATTAAAAAGCTCTGCTGATTTGTGTGATGATTTACTCAATGAAGGTTATACTTACATTTTAACAAGTCGTTTCCAAAGTGACCCTCTAGAACGTTGATTTTCAAAATATAGACAAATGAGTGAAGGTTGTTTTTTTGTTGTTTTATGTGAAGTTGAATCTTCTGAGAAAATACTTCAAATTAAATCTCTAATGAAAGAAGATATAAATTACTGGGATTTAAATCTTAAACCAGAGACCAGTCCAGATCTTTCATGTGAAATCGATTTTGAAAATGATTTTGAAGAGATTGATTTAGACGATGACAGCAAGGAGGTGGCAACCTACATTGCAGGATTTATTATGAAAAAAATTTCTAAAAAATTTGTTTGTTCTGAATGTGAAGCGTTATTAAATCATGAGAAGGTCACCATTTGTGTAGAGTATCCAAATTTGCTTTCTAGAGGGGGGCTTCAATTACCTGGGAAATATCTCGCATCATATATATCCCATTGCTTTGCTAAACTAGATTTAGCTTAAGAAAATTTATTTTTAAATGCTGATAATATCAGATATGCTGCAAGAAAGCTCCTAAATCTTGGAAGAGAAGGGATCTTCATGTGTCCTCAGCATTTTAATAATGCTATAATATTTATTAATAATATAATTATAAACATATACTTTAACAACAAGCAAATAATTATCAACAGTGGAAAAAGAAAAGACGAGATTGTTGCTTTTAAATCAAAGAAAACAAAAAGAAAGCATTATGATTAATCTATGTTGTTGTTAATTTCACAGTATTTTAAAATTTATTGTGATTTTATGAATGTTTATATTACTTTAAATATAAAAGAATTTTAAACAGTTGTTTATTTGTTTTAATAATTTCTATTTTTATTATTTTAGCATTTTCTATGAAAACTCAATAATTACAAAAAAAAAAAAAAAAAAACTGTCCTCCTAATTTTTTCCCGTAAAAACCAACAAACCTGGCCGTGTATTTATAGTAGGCCATGATATCGAAAGAATACTTTCATATCCATCATACATGACTGCACTATCACCTTTACATTAAACTGTTTTCCCTTTTTATACATAAGAAAACCTTTATTTTTAAACTGTTTTTTTTTTTTAATGTCAGAATTTATTTTTAAACTATTTTTTTTTTTTAATGTCATAATAATTTTTTAAACCTTTATTTTTAAACTGTTTATTTTTAATGTCAGAATTAAAGACAGACAATGATTGAAGAGTTTCTCTTGATTCTTTTCCCATTTGAAGACTCAGTGGGCATTTTGTGACTTTTAAAATCATATTAACAAACCTACTTCTGTTTTAAGTGAAAATGGATACAACATTGTCAGTATAATATTGCTAGTATTAACATTACCTTTTTAATTAAATA